ATGCCCAATCTGGCAGCTGTGGATGCAGCGCCAATGCGGAAAGAATGGCTTGAGTAGTGTTCTAAGGATATGCCTGAAATGCAGAGGACTTCGTGAAAATGTTTTTGGAACCAGACTTGAGTGGCCATTTTTCCTGCTTTGGTGAGAAAGAGAGGGTGTTGATGTGATGCATTGGCTGCATACCTAGAGCTTTTGTATTTGGTCAGTGGCTCTTATGGGCTGAGATAGGTGTTGAGGTGGAAAATGTAAAAAGGAAAAGAAACTCCCAGTTGGTCTGTTTTGCTCCTTCAGAGCATGAATATGAGGGAGTCAGAAGTGTGGATGGTGATATCGGATAGGCTGGGATGATGAGAAGGATTGTAGGGGGATGAAGTAGGTGCGAATTCTGAGCAACTTAGGAAGCCGAAGAAAACCAGCAGAAACATGGATTCTAGGGTTAAGTCGACCATTGGGGATATGTAGCCTGAGCCTAGAGAGCAAATACAGAGGCTTAGAAGGACGGAGGTGAGTGGCAAGCGTCTCGCTGTGAGAGTGGGCTCCTGTTTGCGCAAGCCTTTGATCAACATTGTGACATGAGGGTGAGAGATAGAAGGACAATGGTGACCAGTTAGTTTGATAACGAAGTTGATACCAGCTAGATAGGTTTGGATGGTGGAGGACAGTATTTTTTGATTAGAATGAGCACGGGTGAAGAAACTGCATATGGACATGACGTCCAGAGAGGGAAATGGCAGCAGGTAAGTGCCGTGATATGCCTTGAAACAATTCCAGCCGGTTAAGTAGGCTGAGAGAGTGCTTGGGGCGAGGCTGTTAAGGATGGCTTCTTGTGAAGCGTTAGAGGGGTTTCTCAGCTGAGGAGCTAGTCAAATTTCATGGCTGAAAACTGTGGGACTGGTGTGGGATTGGAGATTTGATTTTGGGGCCAAGTGTCTGAAGTTCTGCAATGAGAAACGAGAAAGGTCTGTTGTGGTAACCAGAAATGTGGGCTGCCCTGAGAATGAACAGGTGTTGAGCTGAGATTAATGTGAGTCTGCGCATGAACTGCATGATGGCTGGGGAACGAGATCGCCCTTTGTTAAGGATCTCTACAACTGCAGTGTTGTCAGAGTGTATAAGTATGGACTTCCTAGACCATTCGTGCCCCCAAAGAATGGCAGCTATGATGATCGGATATAGCTCATGAAGGATGAGGGAGAGTGGGACTTTGAGTCAAGGGCTTTGACCTCTGTGGGACAATGTGGAAGCGAACCATTTCACTTCATAATAACCACCGAAACCTACGGAAGGAGCTGTGTCCATGTAAAGTTGAATGTTCTTTGGTTGAGTCATGAAGTGGTCATAGAATAAAGAAATGCCATTCCAAGATGAAAGGAAATGTTGCCACAAACCGATTTCCATCTTGCATGCATCCTCCAAAATAACTTTATCATGGCTGCGGCTTTGGTTTAAAGATTGGACAGGAAAGATTTGGGTTGAGGAATTATCTGTCAAACAGAAGATAGTTTGACAGAAGCAGAGTGGTGCTTTCTCTGTGGGCAAATATGCCTGAAAGAAAATGGAGTCCAGGTTGATGCCTAGGAACTCCATGGAAGGGCTAGACCCTGAGGTTTTCTCTTTAGAGAGAGGGACACCAAGTTCTGAGAAAGCTTGTGTAAGAGTGGTGAGTCCGTGGTGAGGATGGTGGAGTGACAATGAGGAAATTGTCAAGAAGATGAAGAATGTAGGGGAGTCTGTGATTGTTGGTCAGGATCCAGCACAGGGCTTCTGAAAGTGAGTCCAAGATCTTGGGACTACTTCTGCAGCTGAAGGTAAGGCGCACAGAAAAGTAATAAGCTCCCTTCCAGCAAACCCCGAAAAGACGCCTGAAGTCTGGGTGAATGGGCAAGACTTTAAATGTGCTTGTGATGTCTGCTTTAGAAAGCCAGGCTCCGTGGCCTGCAGGGATGGTGATGTATGAAGGTATTATTGGTGAAAAAGGTTTGAGCACCTGTAACAGTAGAATTTGTAGTTGTGTACAGTGATTTGTATGTGTGTAAGTATGAGTTGTGTACTTGTACAGTGATTTGTATATGTCAGTATGAGTTGTGTTTTTTTTCTCTCTACAAATACAACACGACACTTACACATTCACAAATTCTTAATTACAGGTGCACAAATCCTATTTTACAAGTCACAGATTAAAAAACTGACACGCTCACAGTATATTTGGTGCAAAACATATTTGTGCACCTGTATCAAACAATGTGAATTTGTGGACAAAATCTGAATATGTGCAAACCTGAATGTGAACTTGTACAAAAAATGTTCAATGTATGTAAAATAATTTCTCAGGAAATTATTTGTGTGCCTTTAAAACACAAATACAAATCGATAATTACAACTGCTCGAATCTTCCCCATGAGTCACAGATTCTGTTTCCTTCCCCACGAGTCACAGATTCTGTTTCCCTCAACTACAAATCACAAATCGTGCTTCCACTGAGATATTTGGTGAAAAACTATCTGTGCGTTCAGTCTATGGAGAAAAAGGCGGGTGCTGATCTGAGATCGACTGATTCCACAACCAATCAGAGGAGAGGGGCTTTTGTCCCACAGCCAATCAAAGGAGAGTGACTTTTGTCTGCATGGCGGAGGCCTGCCGGTGGTGGATTGTTTTCAGAGATAGCGATTTTGGCAACATTCAAGGTAGGTTGTATTTTTAACCACATTAATAAATAAACTGCGATGCAAAGCTGAGAAATTTAGCGTCCTCTGTTTTGCTAACCCTCCTCCCTGCCGTGTGCATTTGTTTTCAATGACGTCGTTGAGAAATCATTCCGTGGAGTGGTTGATTATCATACACATGTTACGATGTGTGTATTGTTGTAGTCTTATCTGTCATAAACTGTAACAAGAGATTACAGGGCGCGTGTGTATAAAAATAATATAAAAATACTAGTTAATATCTATGCTTGAGAGATGGTAACGTAGTAAATTGACAATTACTCCTATTCTCCTCTCTGTGTGTTGCTCTGAGGTTTGAGGTGGAGCTGCAGGGTTGGGTGGAGGTGTGTGGGGAGGTTTGTGCTGTTGAACGTAACCGTCGTGAAACAATCAGAAAATAACATGTTATTGATCTGATTCAGCGGCTTTCTTACTGTCACCGCTCCCTCTCTTCATTCACTCTCTTCTCTCTACCAGCGTCAGTGGATCCGGTGTTTCGGTCGTGTTAACTAGTGACTTTCTCACATTACAAGATACGTTACAAGAGGTGAATGAGTCTTCTGAACACAATTTAACTTTAGCGTAACTTAGATATTAAACACAGACGTGTATGTATTTAAAAATGATTAAACAACTAAAGGCTTATGAGAACACCTATGTGACCATATAACCATATAACACGGTCACCACTTAAACCAAAACACCGGCTCTGTGTCTACCTGTGTAGCCGCTTACTCACGGAACAACTCTGTCCCCCGTTTAGTGTGCAACCTTTTATATAAATAAATAAAGTAGCAACCGGAGAGAAATGACAGTAAACTGCAACAGAACCTAATAATAATGATATAATGTTAGCCTCTGTCTCAGAGGGCGGAACTGAGTCTCCGTGTTCATCAGAGACAGAGACACAGGAGGATTACATAGAATGTGGGCCACCATAGTCTATATAAGTAATGGGAAACATTTATAATTCATTTATTTTTAGGGGTGCTGGAGCACCCCTAAAATTGATCTAACAACGCCCCTGTGCACACGGCAGGGAGGAGGGTTAGCAAAACAGAGTAAAAGTGACAGGACACTAAATTTCTCAGCTTTGCGTCGCAGTTTATTTATTAATGTGGTTAAAATACAACCTACCTTGAATGAATGAATGAATGAATTGAAAATCGCTGTTTCTGCTGCTGTTTGTTTAAATCCAATCCACCACCAGCGGGAACTCTTCTCCTTCTCACTCCACAATGTAGCCAAAAGCCCCCCTCATTTGATTGGCTGTGGGACAAAAGCCCCTCTCCTCTGACTGACTGTGGAATCAGTCAATCTCCGATCAGCACCCGCCTTTTTCTCCATAGACTGAATGCACAGATAGTTTTTCACCAAATAAGTTTAAGTTTATTTACTTTATTAATCCCCCTGAAGGGAGATTCAATGTTTTCACTCTTGCTTGTCAATTACACACAGGTCCGAAAGACACACACATGCACAAACAGGACCTATACATGCACAAAGTGGAGAGATGTCAGAGTGAGGGGGCTGCCCTTGGTGAGGCGCCCCGAGCAGTTGGGGGGTTTGGTGCCTTGCTCAAGGGCACCTCGGCAGTGCCCAGGAGGTGAACTGGCACCTCTCCAGCCACCAGTCCATGCTCCATATTTTGGTCCGGACGGGGACTCGACAGGCGACCCTCTGGTTCCCAGCCCAAGTCCCTATGGACTTGGACATTGGTAGTAAGAGGCTCTAGCCTTGGACCAAGACTTACCACCAATGTGCAATACACCTCCCAACCGCTATAGTGGTGCTGTGGCACAGTAGAAAGCCGGTGCACTCATTCATTGCAGGACGAAGAAGGGGTGAAGAAAATTTCAAGACATCCTGAGATAAAATGCATGTTTATTGAACAATAACGGATATACAAACACACGGCAACCCCCATACACCTTCCTAACATCTGTGCCTATGAGGTGAGTACATTACATATTTGATTTGAACGTTTATGGAGACGTGAATCGGTCTAGACCGGGAACCCCCAAACGAAAAACGGGGTTTGTTTTCAAGACGTTCATGCAATGAACGTCTTGGTCCAAGGCTACCCAGCCCCCAGCTTGACTGTTCAGACAGCCAAACCTGATGCTGCTCAATATGGATTAAGTTTGGTTGTTTAATTGTCGGAGGGACAATGTATACTGTCCCCCAGTACATAGTGACTTGATTAAAAAAATCATCACTCTTCCTGCCATTCTGTTTGAACTACACAGTAACATATATCTGCTTCCAAAGAAAAGTGAAGTGATGAAGCTATAGTACCTGACCAGCCTTAGTCTTCTCACAGACAAAGGTTTCATACACTGTGGCGAAGGTAGGAGCATTGTCGTTGATGTCCAGCAGGCGGATGTAGACGGGAACATGGCTGCTCTGACGGGGATTATCTGAAAGGCAAACACAGGAAAACTGAATACCCTGCTCCTCTTTCACACACCTCCACACCTACACACAAACTATCTTTCTCAATCAATCTACTGCCAGCTACCACTGAGCAGCTCACTGCCTGGCTTAAAGGCACCGTGTCATTAGCAGATGGAAGAGAAGTTAGTCATTGTGTTAGTCACCCACTTTCGTTAGCTACATTTACCCCTCTTCCCTCCTGTGTCTTTACCTTCTGAGCTCACACACAAACAAAAAAGATTAAATATGGAAACATGAAAAAAAAAAGTTTTCAAGGTGTTAATGAAAGCCATATTTTTAAAGCCTGTGTCCAAGCAGTTGGTTTCTACAATCATTTAATTTTCACAGCATGACTCAGTTCAAGCCAGGAAACCAATCAGGCTTCCATTTCACACTTGTGGCTCAGTCAAACTGTTTGTGGAAGCTGGCGTTATTTGATGATAATAAAACCTGAAATCAGGAAAATAAATTATTAATTCAATAAAAACTAAATAAAACAATATTTTCAAGGCTTCTGTTTTGATTACCAGAAAATCATCAGTGTCCAACAGAGTGTCAGCACTCAGCTGCTCAGTGTGACCAAAAACTACACAGCTTATTCTCTTTCAGCAAATTCACAAATATAAAATAGTACTGATGCCTTACTGCTTCATGTTTTGTTAATGTCATTTAACAGCAATATTACTGTTTCTTCTTTTTTTTACATTAGCTTTACACTGGCTGTAGTGTAAAGCTTGAATGACAGTTGTGTATGCAGCCTTGTAGTCTCATCAGAGACACAGGGAGCTGCATGGTGGGCAGAGTTATTCCAGAGTTATCCCTTTTTCACTGCCATTTCAAGGCGGGAATATTGCGCAGTCTCTATAAGGTACGATCACAGAGTGGGGGGACAGAGTGGCCTTTAGGCCGACATGGGCGGTAGTAACAGCGCTTAAATGGTGTCTGTAAAAACAGGATGGCCAAGAGACCAAGTAAGTTCAGGAGCTCCTTACCCTCTAGGCGGAGGACGAGTTCAGCTGCCATATAACAGAAATGGTAAATGATATTGTCATGCTAATGCCGTTCTTATCGTTAATAAAGTGCTGCTCATGCATGTGTTTTATGTCACACTTAGATGCCAACACTGTGGTGTTACATGTCACACCCATTACACCTCTGTATTAAGAGACCTGGATACAGCATTGGTGGTGGGGACCTGTTCATTCCTATGAAAGTTGCTCTGTGGCGCATGAAGCCAAAAAAGTTATGTTTTTGCAGTATGAAATAACCCAGATGATTGACACTGCTTCTGCATCATTGGGCCCATAGAGACTTACCGCGGCTGAACAGGGTTGAGCGTGGCTAAATGCCACCGAGTGACTAACTTCCACCAGCCAAACGAATGACTTCCGGTTTAGTGCTCCCCCATCTTAAATGGGGTTCAAATAATTTAATCTTGTGGCTCTTTTGACTTTCCAAATGTTATCAGCTCCAATAGATGAAATCTTGATAGTGGAACGACTCTTTTCATGGGGGTTGTGATGCTCAAAAAATGTCTCCACTGACTTATAGAGTTCGAATCAGCATAACAGGTCCTCTTTAAGTAATACATGCTGTTGTGAATGAGAATCAGGATAAAAGTCTTAGTGCTTGCTGTGTTAGTTAATTTCTTTTGGCATAAGGTTTTAAGATAAGCTTTCACCCTAGAAGAAGAAGTGAGATGTTTCTGCTCCTCATATCACTTAGAAAGGGACATTTGTAAAACTCGACAGACAGTGTCTTTCTCTAACAGTGTCTCTGCTATTCAGACAATATTAATAATGGATGCAAATAATAACTATTTCTTCTGTGGAAAGTACAGTCAAAACTGTTTATGTTTAGGTCTGTAAATTGCTGTTAAGATTTTTAAAATGTCATTTTTAGTTGCTCTAAGTAGCACAAATGACACTCCAGTAGAGCTGGTGGAGACCGATATCTCAGAACTATCTGTACAGTAACAGTGACTGATACATTGTGGTACCAGACTTTCTGTCTGGCTCCATACATTTATATTCTACATCAATACATCATATCATCTCTGCAGATAGCTCCTGCTGGACTTACTGAACTCTGTGGCGATGACTGAAATATTATGCCAGGCAGTCTCCTCTCTGTCCAGGCTTTTCAGCAGGAACACAGATCCGTTCCCTGGATGGACGTTGAATAGGCGGTCCATGTCAGTGCGACGGTCGATAGAGTACCTATAACAAGCCAGTAAGTGAGAGGGTGAGAAGGGCTAAGTTAAGCCAGTGGTTGTGATGAACTACAGTAACCTTTGTATCTGTGCAGACCTACCTGGGAGTCACCACAGTGGGCAGAATAATTATTTTTGCTCAATCTGGAAGTGGTGCACTGTGGATTTAAAGGGATAGTTCGACATTTTGGCAAATTCACCTATTGCCGTAATCCCTATAGTCATATGAGTAGGTACATTACCATTAATTGTCAGTGCGTGCTGTTCTGAGATCAGTGGGGCAGAGCTGCCTGCTTAAATGGAGGTCAATTCAATCAATCAATCAATTTTATTTATAAAGCCCAATATCATAAATCACAATTTGCCTCACAGGGCTTTACAACATACAACATCCCTCTGTCCTTACGACCCTCGCAGCGGATAAGGAAAAACTCCCCAAAAAAAACCCTTTAACAGGGAAAAAAACGGTAGAAACCTCAGGAAGAGCAACTGAGGAGGGATCCCTCTTCCAGGACGGACAGATGTGCAATAGATGTCGTACAGAACAGATCAGCATAATAAATTAACAGTAATCTGTATGACACAATGAGACAGAGAGAGAGAGAGAGAGAGAGAGCGAGAGAGAGAGAGAGAGAGAGAGAGATGCAGGTAATGACAGTAGCTTACAACAACATTATTGAAAGTAATAACATTATAGTTATAGTTCTGGCTACTGTGGTACAATATGTTGAAAGTATGTATTAATATCTGGCGGTATACATGTGTGACAATAGTAATGTGTATAATAACAGTAGAAATATGACTAATGACTAATGATGGCAGCAGCTGCAGGAGGCATCTGGCAGGACCACGGCAGCAGCACAACCACACACGTCACGCTGTCCAGGCACTGCTGCGATATGAGTTAATCTGAGAGACAGTGGAGCACAAAGGCTCCGGAGAAGAAGCCGAGTTAGTGACATCCAGAATGGCCGAGTTAGCAAGATGCAGTAATAGAATACGAGAGAGAGAGAGAGAGAAGGAGAGAAGGTGCCCGATGTATTACAGGGGGGTCCTCCGGCAGACTAGGCCTAAGTCAGCCTAACTAGGGGCTGGTACAGGGCAAGCCTGAGCCAGCCCTAACTATAAGTTTTATCAAAGAGGAAAGTCTTAAGTCTAGTCTTAAATGTGGAGACGGTGTCTGCCTCCCGGACCGTAACAGGAAGATGATTCCACAGGAGAGGAGCCTGATAGCTGAAGGCTCTAGCTCCTGATCTACTTTTGGAGACTTTAGGGACCACGAGTAACCCTGCGTTCTCAGAGCGCAGTGTTCTGGTGGGATAATA